GAGTCACAGGGTGGCATCCTCTCCGTAATCACACAATTGTCAACAATGGGTGTGTTCCTTTCCCAGCACGCCAGGACCTGCAGGTGCATGCAACAATCCCATTCATCTGGGTTCTAGGAGCCTCGAACCGCGAACCCCAATCGTGTAAGCCGAAGCTTTTTAGTGCAAGAATTCAACCAACAATGAATCACTTATTTTGCCGAAAGGAAACAATAGAAGAAGAGAAGAGAAGAGTGTTTGTACCGTACGCTCCTGAGGATTGGGTGTATAAGTATCGTACATCCAGTCTGTTATTCACGACCAAAGATCACATTCAGTCCAATATCTACCACTTACGGGTTATTCATGCCCGTGCCACATCTTGGGTAGCTTAATCTTCATCAATCTATCAATCTCCAAGTTATAAACCCTTGTTGTGCGTAATTCTCCCTGCTCTGGGCAACCACGATATGCAATTCTTAACATATTTGTGAAGGATTTCATCTCCCATTCAGTATCCACTGTCTGGTCTCCTATTTCCTCCGCCTAGTTCCATTACCTTACATTTACTTGGGTTGAACTTTAGTAGCCATTTGTTGGACCATTCTTACAGTTTGTCTAGGTCATCTTGTAGTCTCATACTATCTTCTTCTGTCTTAATCCTCCTCATAATTTTTGCATCATCAGCAAACATTGAGAGGAACGAGTCTATTCCCTCTGGGAGATCATTTACATATATCAGAAACAGTATAGGTCCAAGGACTTATACAAAAAGTCCCTGTGGGACTCCACTGGTGACGCCTCGCCACTCCGAGACTTCACCCCTCACAGTGATTCGCTGTCTTCTGTTGCTTAAGTACTCCCTTAATCAGTGGAGTACCTTCCATTTCACTCCTGCCTGCATCTCTAGCTTGTGCACTAGTCTCTTATGTGGTACTGTCAAAGACTTTCTGGCAATCCAAAAATATGCCGTCTGCCCAGCATCTTGCCTGATTTGTGTGAGGTATGATTTGCCATCCCTGAATCCATGCTGTTGTTGCGTTACAAAGTTCGTTCGCTCCAGATGTTCCACCAGCTTTTTTCGCGCACTCTTCTCCGTCATCTTGCATGGCATGCAAGTTAGGGACACTGGTCTGTAGTTCAGTGCCTCCTGTCTATCACCCTTCTTGAATATCGAGACTACATTAGCCGTCTTCCAGATTTTTTGGCAGTTCACTTCTTACCAGTAATTTGTTGTACTCCATGGAGAGTGGCAGGCACAGTGCTTCTGCTCCTTCCTTTAGTATCCATGGTGAGATTCCGTCCGGGCCTATAGCCTTTGTCACATCCAACTCTAACAGATGCTTTCTCACCTCCCCACTGGTAATCACAGACTCCTCTAGTGGTGTCTGGTTAGATATTCCCTCTCTTATCTCTATGAAGACCTCCTGGAGTTTCTTATTGAGTTCAGTGTAAACTTCTGAAACAGTAAGTACAAAAACAGGTCTAAACTCCTGTCGTCATTGTTTACGTTGGATCTGGAGGAGGCTGAACACCTTGGGCCATAGACCGCTTTAGCCGTAACCAGTTATGACCGGCAAATAGTGACGTTAATGTTGGCGAAACTTATTAATTATACCCTGTAACCTTGGTACTAATAGTATCAACGGTTTGCCTTACACATATTTTTGACCAAGAAGGAGGAAAAAGTAGTATAGGAAATTTAAAAAGTAAAGGATGAGGGTAAACGGAGAGTGTCTGGGATGAAATGACATAATGAAGATTACTGAGCCGGCAAGGATGGCGCCAGTGTGGTGGTGGCTTATGTGTGTGTGCAAGAAGGTTCACCCGTGAAACAAGAGTCCACCCTTCGTTCATCTAGGCGCAGGAACGCTTATTCCTGACCAACAGGTGTGGGTTACACACGTGTGCCGGGGTGGGGGAGGCCCGGCGTTCCCCTCCCTGGAGCGAAGGTGGGGTCTCGCCTACATATGCGCAACAATGTGTTTGTCTGTTGTTAAGAATAATAGTTTTCCGCCATCAGGGGAAGTGGACTGCACATAACCGTAAATGCTAAGACACTTTTTCAGTGTCAGATTAGTTAGTAAATGGAATACGTTAGGCAGTGATGTGGTGGAGGCTGACTCCATACACAGTTTCATATGTAGATATGATAGAGCCCAGTAGGCTCAGGAATCTGTACACCAGTTGACTGACAGTTGAGAGGCGGGACCAAAGAGCCAGAGCTCAACCCCCGCAAGCACAACTAGGTGAGTACTGCTACAGATCAACATCTATCTATGAGAACTGAACCACACACCAGAAGACGAGACGACGACGTTTCGGTCCGTCCTGGACCATTCTCAAGTCCATTGTGACTTGAGAATGTGGTCCAGGACGGACCGAAACGTCGTCGTCCCTTCACTTGTCAGTGTGGTTGCTAACTGAGAGAAGACCATCCTGCTATCACAGGAAATGCATCGTCAGTGATACGCTGAGGATATAAGCATGCACAGTGCTATTTCCAGGATATTAGAGCCCAGAAAATAGACATCAGTACTCACAGATTACACATGGCCGTGAAGGTTCATATACGCATATGTACGCCAGAAGAGTACATATTGAACTCTTCACACACACACCGGACTGGCTCTAGGTGTGTGTACATGAGTACAGTGTAAGCAAAGATATGTACTTGCGGGGGTTGAGCTTTGGCTCTTTGGTCCCGCCTCTCAACCGTCTATGTGGTGTTATCTAACCTACAAACCGGCGGCTAGTTTATTGTGCACCCTATACCCACCGGCGGCTAGTTTATTGTGCACCCCATACCCACCGGTGGCTAGTTTATTGTGCACCCCATACCCACCGGTGGCTAGTTTATTGTGCACCCCATACCCACCGGTGGCTAGTTTATTGTGCACCCCATACCCACCGGTGGCTAGTTTATTGTGCACCCCATACCCACCGGTGGCTAGTTTATTGTGCACCCTATACCCACCGGTGGCTAGTTTATTGTGCACCCCATACCCACCGGTGGCTAGTTTATTGTGCACCCTATACCCACCGGTGGCTAGTTTATTGTGCACCCCATACCCACCGGCGGCTAGTTTATTGTGCACCCCATACCCACCGGCGGTTAGTTTATTGTGCACCCCATACCCACCGGCGGCTAGTTTATTGTGCACCCCATACCCACCGGTGGCTAGTTTATTGTGCACCCCATACCCACCGGTGGCTAGTTTATTGTGCACCCCATACCCACCGGTGGCTAGTTTATTGTGCACCCTATACCCACCGGTGGCTAGTTTATTGTGCACCCCATACCCACCAGCGGCTAGTTTATTGTGCACCTCATACCCATCCTGTGAGGGACCCGTTCTCCATCCTGACGATGGCTTCACTAAGTCTCACTTTTAGTGTCCTCCAACACTGGTGAGGTGAACACTCTCGTGAGATGTTCACTCTCGTGAGGTGTTCACTCTCGTGAGGTGTTCACTCTCGTGAGGTGTTCACTCTTTCCTGATGTAAATGTACTCTGGTGAGAGATGCCTACGTCGATGACTTGCCACCCACTACCTCTCGGGACGTTTCTTGAATTGGTTCTCAAGAAAGGACTGAAGCTGAGGAAAATAACTGTACACAAAACAGAGACGGTGTACACACAGCCAGCTTGTTCCAACCGTCTAACAATCTCCTTGAAAAATATATTTTTCTGATGTTTTTCTGCACCTTTGTTTCCTTAGCTTGAATCTATGATATCTTGTTCCTGAAGATGCAGGTTTAAAGAATTCTTCTTTGTCAATGTTGTCGATTCCTGTTACAATTCTTGTCTTGCTGAATATGTCATTTGTCAGCCTCTCAACTGTCAATCTAATGGTGTACAGGTTCCTGAGCTTATTGGGTTCTCACCACATCACTTTCTAATGCATTTCATTTATTAAGTACTTAGACACTAAAAAAGTAATTTATAATGCCTCTGACTCATTTCGGTGCTCAGCTTCCACCTGTGTTTCCTTGTGAGAGTACCTGCCGTGTTAAATAATCCTTCCTTATCTATCCTGTTAATTCCCCCTGGGAATTTTGTATGTGGTGATCATGTCTCCCGGAGCTATTGTCTTCCAGCGACGTGAGATGCAATTCACGCAGCCTTTTCTCATAACTCACGCCTCTTAGTTCTGGGACTATTCTAGTTGAATACCTCTGAACTTTCTCCAGTTTTGTCTTATGCTTGACAAGGTATGGACTCCATGCTGGGACCGCATACTCCGGGATTGTGTGTGTGTGTGTGTGTGTGTGTGTGTGTGTGTGTGTGTGTGTGTGTGTGTGTGTGTGTGTGTGTGTGTGTGTGTGTGTTTCTTGCCAGAGCCTGTCAGATGTGACATTATGTAGTAAGAATATCGTTGATATATAACAAAATATAATACTATCACAGTATATGTACACACAATCACTGTTTACATAATTACTCACTCCTAATTCGCATGAATGTTCGTGGTTTAGCGTTTTTAAAGTAACATTCACCTCGCCACATAAACTATCCACACCAAGACTTGGAAATCTAAAAGTATTTCAGAGGTCGATCCAAATTCTTAACAATAACTTGATGCCTTAAGGTGTCTTCCAAGGTGCACTATTTACCTAAGATTACATATTTCTGTCACTGGTAAATGTAACGTTTTGCTCTTGAAATCGTAATCACTTGTGCTCATGATGTGCCTTATTTAATTGTTATCTTGATAAGAGAAAACACCATATAAGAGAGCGAGAGAGTGAGATGTAGCGAGTCTGAGACACGTGTCCTTCCCCTCCAACTGCTGGATGATGACTGAGGCTTGTGAAGGAAGAGTGGCTTGTGTGAATTGCCTTACCTTATTTTTTTTTTTGCGAAGCTCAAACACATGCAGTAATTGTCAACTTCAAAATAACAAATTATTATTCACAAATTGTATTAACATTTTGTATATGTCTCGGTTACAAAATAAAAAAAAGACTGGATAATTCCCGGGAGGCAATCTGTGGGTATATATATACATGGCGGTGAGGCAGTTTAATCAGTTGACGCGCAGCCTTCACCAGCTGAACAACTTCCTCTCTTCCAGCCAGACTCCCAGTACCGCTGAGGCATCCTATTCCAATCTACCTACTAGACATACAGTGCCACCTTACGAGATAAACAGCCAGTGCCAGCCTACAGCTAAACAGCCAGTGCCAGCTTACAAGCTAAACCAGCCAGCACCAATCTACCAGCTAGACATTCAGTGCCAGCTTACAAGCTAAACAGCCAGTGCCAGTCTACCAGGTAGACATACAGTGCCAGCCTACGATCCCAGCAACCAGTCCAGTCAAGACAGCAACAATGTCACAGAGTATGGTAAGTAAGAGCGAGTGGTTGTTCGGCAGGTTAGTGAGGCTATCCAGTGCCAGCCGGAACTATCCACACTTTCCTGACGTTTTCCAGTGTCACCCTTCCGCTTCCTCTATACACTTACACGCACACACACACACACACACACAGGGGCCCCCGCACAGGTGGAGACGTGTGCACATCACTGTGAGAGCGTACACATGTCTACACATTGCGTGCACATCACTGTCATTCCTGCCTTTGGTGATCTCATTAACCACGCGTCTCTTTTTTTAAATATACATCACTAAATAATTGTGTACATATCTCTCTTGGTGACCGTGTACACATCTTTCAGTGAACGCGCGCACATCTCCCAGTTAACGTGTGCACATCTCTTGGGGAAACATATGCACATGTGTGCGCACACGCACACATCTCAGGGACACCCGTGCTCACGTTACGGAATGCGGCCATGACTTCTGTCGAAACCGCGTCCACAGCTGTTTTGTGGGTGGTGATTCAGCGGTCCCTGGTAAAGGATAGCTGAGGCAGCTAGCAGGTCACCCATATGAGCACCCTGTAGGGGGGTGAATACCCTGCGGGAACACTGTGGTACGACTACTAATCTATGCCAAGCAGGAAAACTGTGGTACAACTGCTGGTCTAGCAACAGTGGGCAGGAACACTGCCTCGCAAACCAAGAAATATGGTTCCAGATGCACGTAACATGGTTCCAGATGCACGTAACATTTCTATATATATAATCTCGGATAGCTTAACAGACCATTTCCTGCGGTAAAGGATACATTGTAAGTCTTACAAAAATATCATTATATCCGTGTTGTGAGCTTAGAATGGAGTGGGCGCGTTATATTTTCCCATATATGGAAATACTCTAACAGCGATAAGGTGAGGAGTATATACCGTTCACTTGAAGTTCAGGGTTAGAAAAATAAGAGCGAGAGAGACGACCAGGAAGGAACTAAGCGTACTTCCGGGCTTCTTCTGATTACGTCCGATATGATATCTTGAAACGGGTACGAGAATAATATATTTCCGGCGATGGTAATCTAATACTGTACATGCACCCGCGCATTAATAGGTCCAGTGGAGTGTGTGTGGGCGCGGGTCTGCGTGTGTGTGGGCGGGGGTCTGCGTGTGTTTGTGTGGGCGGGGTGGGTGTGTGTGTGAAGCGGGAACTAGACAACAATGAAGAGGGAGACAATAGCCTAGCGAGAGCTCATGGGTTGGCTGTGTCCGTGGTTGAAACTGAATACATTGCGAAACCTTAGTAACACCTCTTCAGAGTTAAGACCTTCAGGTGGATACAAGTCACGTCGTGCATAAGATACATTTTTGCTTGCATTAAACCAAATCTAACCTATTCGTGCCTAACTTAGTGATATATATAAAATCTAAACAATTAGAAAATAAGTTGTGTGAAACGCCTTTGTTCAATTTCCTCGTGTCCTTGATATTATGGGCTGCGGGTTTTGAGATAATTTTTAGTGTCACGGTGTGGCGGCTCTGAATTACATTGTGTCCTGGTTGTCACAGTGTGACGACTCTGAATTACACTGTACACGATTAAGTGGTACCTTTGATTACAAATCTCGTACAGTATTTTATTTCCAACGTAACACATAGAAGGGAGTCAGTAATTAAGACTTTAAGTTAGCCTCATTGCTCTCACTATGAAACATCGTTACTCCAATCCAAGAGAGGCTTTTCTGGGATTCCTGAAACAAAGGTAATAACGCCAACAATCAATGAAACAATAAAGGAATTTTGATTAATTGAATCCTGATGGGAAATGTCATGAAAAATAGCGCCCTATACAGTATAATATTTATGATGCGGTAATTAGTGTCTTGGGTAATATTTTAAAGATCGCTAAGATGCCCAGCAGTTCCAATGATATCGGTGGGGTGAGTTGAGAAAGGTGAACTGCTATTAGTGTCAGGCTGTTGGAGAAACTGCGCTATTAAAACTTAATTATTATTATTATACTAACAGTTTGGCCTTATCAAGTTTGCTAGTAACCGAGGGTAAAAACTGGGTGGTACACTGTATGAGGTAGTTACAAGTGATGCTGGCAGCGGAATTCTGCCTGAGGAGAGAAGTTTTTGAAATTTTCTTACCTAGCTTCCTGTCGAGGGCGGGTAAGTCTTGGGGCTTTCCATTCGTGGGCACAAGTCCATGACCCTTGGTGGGTCCTGTGGCAACATGTATGTGAACTTCTCTCCACTTTCCTTTTCATTCTCTCCCTCTCTCCTGTCAATGCCGAGCAAAACTACCTCTTCGTATATAAGCATACCCTCAATATTTGTGCATAGTTCCTTTAAATATACTCAGAGTATATTTAATTAATTAGCCTACTTGTATACCTTCAGAACGCGTGGCCTTCACAAATAATTAACGTAGCCTAGTCATTGGAAACCGCCACATTACAGGACCTTTCCCGGGGAACAAAAATGATTGAAATACTGTATAATTTCGACGTCCTGTCCACCTGTCACGGTAGAATTTCCGGCGGCTAAGCTTCCAACAATTGTCGATGACACATAAGTTATCACATCTGAAATAGCAGATGCCCCCTAATCACAGAGGGCTAAATAACACATTACTATCCCACTCCGACACCCTCACATACATAGATTGTTTTTTTTTTATCGGAATTCCAGCTATAAATGAAGTTTGGGTGATCTTATACCCTGATCGCGAGTTAACTTATCTCCATTATTGTACTCAACATGTAACTATTCATTGAATATAGGCAATCATTTTTACTTTCTTCTATGTACTTGTACAAAAGCTGCTAACGTCGCACTTTCGTTACAGGTTTGGTCATCAGTGATGGTGGTGGTGGTCGTGGTAATATCATCATGCTATGGTCGTTCTCTCTCATCTGAGGACCTTCAAGTACTCCCGCAGACGACCTCGCCGGCGTTGTCCCACGCCAGCGACCTGCCCGAGGACCACGGTCCACTGAGCACGCCCTTGTACCACAGCATCAGGAAAAGGGCCGTCTTCGATCCTGAATGTAAAGGTTACTACGACCGAAAAATCTGGGCCAAGTTGAACCTCGCTTGTGAGGATTGTCAGAATCTTTTCCGGAAACCTGGAGTAGAAACGGAATGCAGGTACTAAATATTCCATTCAAATGCAGTTTATTATGTGACATTATGTTTATTATGTGTAACTATTTTGTTAATAGTAGTTTATATACTGAATAATTTATAGTAAACGTCAAAGTACCAAAGTTATATCAAATGAACACAAAACATACGCTGTCACTTCATCTTTAATAAGTTGCGGGAATAGTGTTCATTAAAAAAAAAAATTATTTGTACATAAATTAACAGTTTCTGTCAAATTCGTGCATCTCTGCCATTACCAAAGGTTAATGTAGATGTTAATTTCCATTAACAGAAAAGGTTGTTTCAAATCCTCGATGTTCACGTCATGTGTATCCGACCTTTTCCTGCCCGTGGACAAGTACCAAGCCCTTGCAGCCTTCGTCAGGGGCACATAAAGCTTCCTCATACACAAGTGAGTATACCATACAACACTTTCCTATCTAGTATTATCATCGCTATACACGATAAGACGCTTCCCAAAGCCTAGTTTGTTTCTGGCTAGTAATTTGATTAGTCTTACAAAACACTGAATAATGATAAATTAAAAACAGGTGCTTATAAATCTTAAATATTATCAACTTTATTTATATATAAAAATGCCGGCGCACACACTTCGGAATTCTGAACTTTTTTTCCTGATATTCCTTTTAGGAAACTTTTGTAGGACAAAATGAAATTGAGCAAGCTTACCTGGATCCCACCTGGTGTCAAGACGTTACAAGATCAAACAACCACAAGATACAAGGATCATCAAGTTCTTCCTAGTCGACAGCAAATCGATATTTGTATTAACAAGGATAAAATACAAGAAGAACTATGGGGGGGGGGATAAGAGCTGCATCTGGTGGAGGAAGTCAATAGCATGCATGGTCACACACTAATTGGTAATAATTTAGGTAATTACACTTAGGTAATTACACACACACTCCAGCCCTTGCTTCACAAGCTCTGCAAGTGATTACAGCTTCTCTGTTATCCTTCACTGAAGACAGTGGCGCGCTGGCAAGCATTTACTGGATAAATGCTTGCACCAGTCTACTAAAAACAGCTCAATATCTCCAATTCCTAAATGCATATCTAGTCATTCTCCATGCATGTATTTAATACATATTTATTAAAATATTTGTAAACTAAGAAATACTTCATAAAATTTAGTCATATTTGTATTTGTCTAAAGATAACCCGTCATAGGTTAAACTAATATAACCCAACCCACACATGAACAAAGTGCAGATCTTTCCGTCCGTCCTGGGGTCAGATTCACGAAGCAGTTACTTAAGTACTTACGATCGCGTACATCTTTCCTCAATCTTGGACGGCTTTGCTTACATTTATTAAACAGTTTACAACCATGAAAACTTCCCAATCAACTGTTGTTATTGTTATGAACAGCCTCCTGGTGCTTCGGAGCTCATTCACTGTTTAATAATTGTAAAAAAAAAGCCGCCAAAGATTGAGGAAAGATGTACACGTTCGTAAGTGCTTGCGTAACTGCTTCGTGAATCTGGCTCTGGACGCTTATCAAGGCCTAACCATTTGATCAGGGTCGAAGTGGGACCGAGGATTCGTCACTTTTATTGAATTTTATATACAGTACTGTATGTGTGTCGCGTTATTTGCTGCAGCTACGTTATTGTGATCTATTCTCGGCTACGTGTGATGTATTCTCTGTCACGTTAATGTGACGTATTCTGTCACGTTAGTGTGACGTATTCTCTGTCACGTTAGTGTGACGTATTCTCTGTCACGTTAGTGTGACGTATTCTCTGTCACGTTAGTATGACGCATTCTCTGTCACATTAGTGTGACGTATTCTCTACATATGTCAAATAACCTCTAATGTGAAAAATATTTATTTATCTTTTAACGTTCATGTATATTTATTTAGTGGTCGTGAAGACCTGAACCAAGCAGCACCTTATCTTACTTCAAAGCTAGATATGAGTAGCGTATTACAAGCATTGAACATTGTACCTGCCATGACATGCTGTAATTTCCTTTCCAAATTCAGCTTACTATTTATATATATATGTGATGTTAAGCTTACTTTTGATCTCCAATCATTACTACAAACTTTTCACGGGTCTACTGTAGCATTTTTACACTTGGGTTTAGGGTAAGCCTAGCCTTAATACACCCCGCCATACCCTGATCTAGTATATAGACCTACCTACATTGGGTACTAGTGTAGGCCTAGTTTTAAATATATCGCACCAGCCCGGTCTAATATAGCCTCTCTCCTGTCCGAAGAAATGCAGACAATTCAGCTATGGTAAAAAATAATAGATATTTTGTATTTTGTTGTATTTTAGTATTTAATAAGCTAACTGGTCAAGTTTGCAGGATTCTCTAGTCTGAAACTATACAAGCCCTCCTATATCGTATAGATGCTTATGGCACAGTACTCAATTCTGTAAATGTTCTGAATAATTAATAAGTCTGCATTACAACATTTATTATTTAATTTTATTTGAATATATTGATCTTAAGACTCATGGAATCTCTTGACAGTGCATCCATCCAGGAACATACGAGTACATGATATTTTGTTACTAAATGCATAAGGAATTATTTGTAATGTTAATTTATAAACTTGTCTAAGTTAAACAGATGTAATATATCCTTATTTATACTTATGTAATGTTTACAAAGCCGATTTATTTTTACATGTGTGAGAGTCTTGACATTGCCTTTAGATATATGAGTAAAACATTGATGAACAAATCCACAAGGGGCTTCATGAGGGGGTTCGAACCTATTATTTAATTTACTGTGAAAAAGTTACAATTCTTTTACCATGTGGTGGTACAGTTGACTAGAGCGGGTTTGGGAACATCCATGCCATAGGTTCGAACCCTCATCACGGCCCTTGTGAATTTGTTCATTTGAAACATCACGCTATTGTGATTTCTGTATGAATAAAACATCGATACAGTATTAAGTTTACTTATCTCTGTCCTACTTATGATAAAAAAGAGCAAACGGCAACTAGAAAACGACAGACAATATACCCAATTTGTTCAGCAGAAGTACGTAATTAATTGTTATTATAGCGTATATATGTACAAGAAGTTGACTTGGCCTTATTTACATATATATTTACATGATATATTTACAAATATATCAAAAAACGTTATTGTAGATTTAAGCCAAAATGTTGCACAAAATTACACTTAAATGGACCAGCCGATGGATCACTGGCCGAAAAGATGAGGATATCATTACCGATATCGTGGGTGAAAACCAGAATCAGCGGGTATTCTGCGTTGGGTATCCTAGCGCTGATAAAGCAACAATGAAGATATCTTTCTCCTCCTTAGCTGCGGCCACCCAGGCTGCCACACAAGGTCTCTACTGCTTCGGCGTCAAGATAACCACCCCACCAAGTAAAAAGGGAACGATATCTCGAGTTCCAACAGTGCTTCAAGTGCTACGAGCTCTCCCACCCTACCAACAAGTGTCACCACCCCGTCCAGAAGTGCAGCCTGTGCGCCCTGAACCATCATCTTGAGGTTATCTTGAGATGATTTCGGGGCTTTAGTGTCCCCGCGGCCCGGTCCTCGACCAGGCCTCCACCCCCAGGAAGCAGCCCGTGACAGCTGACTAACATCCAGGTACCTATTTACTGCTAGGTAACAGGGGCATTCAGGGTGAAAGAAACTTTGCCCATTTGCTTCTCCTCGTGCGGGAATCGAACCCGCGCCACAGAATCACGAGTCCTGCGCGCTATCCACCAGGCTACGAGGCTCCACTGGCCGATCATTACTCCATCTGCTAGGCAAAAAACCCATCGCTGCCTGCTCTGCAATGGCAATCATCCGGCAATCTCCTACCGCTGCCCCCGCAGGCAGGATAAAATCAAAGGCCCAGGTCAAAGCCAAGAAAGCCAACCCTCCTAACTCTGCCACCAGAGCCCCCGGTGCAATTCCCAGCTCCCACCAACCAACCAGAAGACTTTCCAGTCCTACCAAACAGTCGCGACTCCCACCAGGCGACTCAGCCTTCACACTGGGGACTCAATACTCAACCACCACCCTCGCAGCCTCTTGCATCACGTGCCACCACTTATCCCTGGTCTCATTCGATTAGAGGAGAGGCTTGCCGGACCAGACAACCACCGATTCGTCGTGGAACTGAACGTGCTGTAACTAGTCAATGGCCTGAATTGTCTATAAATGTTATTAATAATAATAAAAAATTTACCTTCTCCAACTATTTAGTCTGCCTTTACTAAAGCATGAAATGACAGGGGCAGCACAATCAATAAGAGATCTCACAGAATGCCATGTGATTACCATTGGAAAGTGAAATGTAGAATATGATTAACAATTGTGTACTGTATGGGTTTGTGAGCCCCTTGAGGGACTTTATATAGACGAGGGTAGAAATAGGTTATGCTACTCTATCCTTTTGAGATGTACTTCCTTTTCTCAATAAATTACTTGAACTTGATAACTTGTTTTATAAAAAAAAATAAGCATTAATAACATTATCACATTAAGATTAAGTTATGAGCGATCAAGACAATGAACTGTATTATTTTGAAGAAGCCTAGTTACCCATTTCTCACGTGCTTACTGAAGAAGTGGCATATATATCGTCTTACAAATCAATTGAAGGTCTACGACAGGCTTATTAAGATCAACAAAAAAGAGATGAGTGAACGGCTCCATATTATTGGACAATACAGAAAAAATCAACTTTTAACACCATGGCTGCAATAAATTACAATAAGATTTTGACAAGGTGCACGAATGGTCCAAAAATGGCTGATTGAGTTCAACCATAACAAGTGCAAAGTAATGAAGTTTTGATTTTGAAGATAATCTGTCACTTTGGACGGGAGACTGGCAAGTATGAGGACTTAGTTAGGCTCAGGATCTTCAGGTTCAAGTCCAGTGACTTGAATCCTAAGTAATTCTGGATATTAACGCCACATATACAAGGCCCGTATAAGAGTATACTCCACTATCTTGAGGTTATCTTGAGATGATTTCCGGGCTTTAGTGTCGCCGCGGCCCGGTCCTCGACCAGGTCTCCGTTACACATCCCTCCAGGAAGCAGCCCGTAGCAATAGTCTAACTCCCAGGTACCTATTTACTTCTAGGTAACAGGGGCATCAAGGTGAAAGAAACTGCCCATTTGTCTCCGCCTCCACCGGGGATCGAACCCGGAACCTCAGGATTACGAATCCGAAGTGCTGTCCACTCAGCTGTCAGGCATAGAATTCCCTCTCATACTAGCATTTACATGACTCCTCAAGTTTTTCTACCTGATTAGTCCCAGAGCTGAGGGGCATGAGCTCTGAAGATAGGTTGCAGAAACGCAGTTTCACAACTTAAAAAAAAAGCACAAGAGAGATTTTATCGTCACCTAAAATGTCCTAATATATTAAAAAGTACTTACCACAGTTTTCAAAATGCGAAGATCTTAGAACGTAGGACTGCTAGATTTGTAATATTTTCATATATATTTTAATTAATGAAAGTGGATATGTTCAGATTTTGTTCTGAACAAAATCTGAACTCTTGTTCTGTGGACTCTTACTTTAATTCTTAATTGAAACAAATATATGTAGTACTCTGAATACCATTTAGTGTTACTAAATTGGATTGTAAATACGACTATGGAATTAAGTTATTCTGTATAATAATAATAATAATAATAATAATTATTATTATTATTATTATTATTATTATTATTATTATTATTATTATTAATACACAGAGAGTAATCACATTAACGTGATGTGTCAATGAGAAAATGTCAATGTCAATGAGGAACAATAAATCCAATTACGAAACTTCTTTGTGTAGAGTTAGTGTTGGAGAAGAGCCAAGCGGGCGTTTGATGCAAGAAACAAGGAAAATATTTGGAAAAACAAGGAAAATCCGTCCTCTTAAAACTCACGTCGCTTTTCGCTCGCATGCGCTACGGCCCAAAAAAGGACGTAATCTGAAAATCAAAAATAATTAAAAATAAATTTTGGCTTTTTTTTTTCAAAAACAGCAAGGTCCTATAGTAGGTTAGAAGAGCAAGACGTTTATTTATTTATTTATTTACATACAAGAAGGTTTATTGGGAGAGTACATAGCATTGATGTTTTTACATTCTTGTAAAGCCACTAACTCGCATAGTGTTTCGGGCAGGTCCTTAATCTAAGTTCTCCTAAGGTTTCAATACGTCATAAAGACGGTTAATTGAAAGTTTCCTCTCCTAACGTAACCGAGTAAACCGGAGGACTCAAAACAGCAAACGGAACAGTACGTCACTTTTGTGAGCCGATATCATTTTGAATTACGTCCATTTTTAGCCTTAGTGCGCATA